GGCTGCCGCCATATCGCCCCGAGCCCCGGATGGGCTCCCTCGCCCTTTCTCACCCAAGTCCAAAGAGTGAATGCCGAAGCGCATGCACACCTGGCGCTATCTTCCTCTTCCTGCCTGGCTCGAGGGTCGCGCGTCTCACGGCTGCTGCCATTGGCCTGCGACTCCATGGCCCCTACCACGTCCTGTTCCGGCCAACTGGCGATCGGCCCCCGCTTGTGCCCCCCCCCCCCCCCCCCCCCCCCCTCGCGGGCCGACCCTGGGGCGGGGCAACGAGCGCGCATTTTTCGACACCCACCTTTTTTTGGCGCGCTTTCACCGGCACTGGGGACGAAAAGCGCGCGCAGATCTCCCCGATGGCTGAATATGGCGCCCCGAACCCCAGGCACGCGCCGGCCAGCGGGCCCCAGACACCGGCCGGGACGGGGGGCGGTCAACAGCCGGAGGAGAGGGCAGGTGGCGAGTCTGTCCCCTCTGCGCCCTCCTCCGGCACCCACATTCGATGCCAAGCCCACTCGATTCAGGTAGCACCTCCCTGCCTGGGGCACCCTCAGCCCTAACTATGTTCCCTCTCTCGCCCCTTTCCCCGATGTACATCCTTCGCGCCTTTCTCCCTCCCCTCTCCCTCCCCTCTCCCTCGCCTCTCCCTCCTCCTCCTCCCTCCCCCTCCTCTCTGCTTTGGCCCTCTGCACCTATCAGGCCGCTCCCCCAGTCTCTCGAGCGCCTCCGCACGTCCCCGCCCCCGACCATGGTTGCTGACGCTTTACAACCCAGTCTTTCGCCCCTCCTTCTCCCTCCTTCCCCTCTGGCGGCTGCGCGCATTTCCCAAGGAACAGTTCGGGGTGCCGGTCTCCCTTCCCGCACCGTAGCAACCATTTCCACCCACGTCAACCCCGTTATCGATGCGGTTGCCGCCGCGGCCTCGGCCATGTCGGCCGCCGCCTCCTCGCCAGCCTCGCCGTCGGCCCTGTCGCCCGCCGGCCTTCCTGGTGCCTCGATGACCACGGAGCCCGGCCCTTTGTCTGAGCACGGCCACCCTGCATCATCGGTTGTCGGCAGTCCAGTCGCCTCGCCGAATGCCGGGCCGCTTGCTCCTGCGAAGAATGACTCTGCCCTGGCACAGACCATCCGGTCGCCGATTCTCTCGCCGCCGGTCCTTTCGCCGGTCCTTTCGCCGGCACCGCCGACCGACGATGTCCATGCCGCCTCCTCCCCTGGCCTGGTATCGCACCCGCACTCGCCCCCGGGGGCCGGTCCCGCGCTAGATGCCACGACCGCGGCCATCTCCAGCCCGCATCTTGCATCTGGATCCGGCGTGCCATCTCCGGCTCCGGAGCCCACTCCAAGCCAGCTGCACATCGACCCGCCGGCCGGGGTCGCCGATACTGCTGGTCGGTCGACCGCCGCCTCCCCGACCCCCGGGTCCCCCATCTCCGGACAGCCGGCTGGCGGTGCCCCGCCTTCAGCACAGCTGTCGGTCGGCGTGGATCCGGGCAGCGCGGCGGCCGCCGCCGCGGTGGCGGCCGCAGCCGCCGCCGCCGCCGCCGCTCAGAAGCAGCATCCGCCGTCTGTCATGTCGGTCCCCGGGGGCCACACACCGCTTCCCCACCCTACCGGCCTGCCGCCAGGCATCGGGCCCCACGGTCATCTGCCTCTGCTGGGTCAGGCCGGCTTCCCCCCGGGCCTCAGTGGTGTGCACTCTGCTCTGCTCGGAGCCGGTCTCGCCGGACAGTCGCTTGTCCCGCCACCCACGCACCCCGGGTCCCTGCCCCCGGGGCATGGTCATTTTGACGTGGATCCCAACCGGTCGGCAGCCGCAGCGGCGGCGGCGGCGGCCGCTGCGGCTGCCGCCGCCGCCGCCGCTGCCGTCGGGACTCCCCAGCAGGCGGCTCCGGCTCCCCCGACCCCGTCTGCTCCTCCCACGCAGACCCCCACGGCGATGGTGCCCACTCGGTTCAGTCCTCCGCCGCCGCTCGAGATCGAGCGGGCCCACTGGTCTCCGGCCCGCGATCACCTTCTGCTCGGCATTCTCTTCGGATCCAAGCGCGAGGGGAAGTTCGGTGGCTCGGCTGGCTCCGGCGGCGGCAATCCCCGAAAGGAGGCCTGGCGCGAGGCTACCGATCTCTTCAACCGCCGCTCCGGCCTGTCTTTCTCCCGGTCACAGATCAAGACCCGTGTGGTTTCGGTGCGTCTACGGGCGTCGGCTCACACATACATATATACACGCACACGCACACACACACACATGCGTGCTCGCTCTGCCCCCTCCACCATCACCTCCTCTGCAAATCACTCACTGTCTGTCTCTGCTCCTCTCTTCCCTCCCTCTTGCTCCCCTCCCACAGCTCAAGGCCCAGTTCAAGATTCAATACAATGGCAGTGGTAGCGACGGTGTCAGCCTCGGCTCGCGTCGCATCGCCACTCCTGGCACCGAGCAGAACCCCAGCGCCAGTCGGATCACCACGACCCCGGGCTTCCGGCGCAAGGTCGGCGCCAATGCCGACCCCCTGGAGGCCACCACTGCTCGGCTGATCTCGCTGCTCTTTGGCGAGCATGGGGATTCCCCCCGGTCTGGATCCGGCGCATCCCTGGTCATCCTCTTCCCCCCGACGGTGATCAATGCCGTGGAAAAGTACATCTTTGAGAATCACACTGCCTTGGTGAAGTCCATGAGCGAGGCCGGCCATGCGGCCCTGGCCATCTTCGAGGCCACCGGCCTGCCGGATGCCATGTCCAATCCTCGTGGCTTCGCCGAGGCGGTGCAGATCGCCTCCAATGCCATCGGCTTCGTGCCGCACGACTTCGCCCCGGTCAAGACCATTACCCGCGCGGCGCACATGGGCAACGAACCGGCCCCCGGGACCGGCGAGACCTATGGCAGCACCCGCCAGACGGAGTCGGGTCAGGGCGTCGGCCAGCAGGGTCCCCCTCCACCGGGGCAGGTGGCAAGCCTCCCGCCGCCCCCGCCGCCGCCGCCGCCCCCGCCGCCGCAATATCCCCCGCCGCCACACCAGCAGGCGCACATTCGTCCGCGCGAGCCCTCCCTGTCGCCCTCTCGATCGGTTCTGTCACGCACGGCGCATGCCGCATCGATCGCCGACGCGCGCATGCTTGACTCGGGCCCGGCTTCGCAGCTGGCACTGGCCGCGGCGGCAGCGGCCGCCGCACAGGCCGGCCAGCCGCCGCCGCCGGGGCAGCTCCAGCAGCCGCCACTGTTTGCCGGGGCCGAGGGCAGCCTACTCGGGGCCTATGGCACGCACTTCCCCCACCATGCGGCTGCTGCCGCTGCCGCCTACATGGATGCCAGTGCCGCGGCCGCTCTCAATGCTCAGGATTTGGGCGGTCCCCTGCACATGGCCGGTGTGGACCATGCGGCTGCGGCTGCCTCCTCGGCCGCAGCCTTGCTTGGTGCCCATCGGTACCCGGCAGTCGGCCGCGACGGGCAGCCTCCCCCGCCGCCGGGCCCCGGAGCCGGGCACCTCCTTCACCACCAGGCCCAGGGCCAGCACCCGCCCCATCCGCACCACCTGCCGCCTGGGCCACACCACCAGCCGCCGCCGCATGGGCTTCACCACAGCTACATGTATGATCAGCATGCGGCTGCGGCTGCTGCCGCGGCTGCCGCGGCCGCTGCGCACCACATGCACCAGCCTCCCCCGCATGGCCTGCACCCGGGTTTGCAGCACCACCACCACCACCCACCCGGGCACCATCCCTCGCACTCGCACCACCAGGGCCCCCCACCGGGACATGCTTTCCACCATTCCTCGGCCGCAGCTGCGGCGGCTGCGGCGGCTGCGGCGGCCGCAGCCGGCCACCATCTCCCGGGGGTGCATCACCACCAGCCATCGCCCGGCACGGCTCCCTCCCCCTCGCCACATCATCTCCATGGGGCCCCCCCTCCTCCCGGGCCGCCACGTCCCGGGCTGACCGGCGCAGGTGGGTCACCCATGCACGGTGCTCCGCCACATCCCGGTCTGGCTATGCCCTCGCTCTCGGGGCTTGCGCATGCCGGGCATCTCCCTCCGCCTGGCCACCATCACCCGCCTCTGCCACCGCCGGCCGGCTCGTCCCCAGCCCCGCCGCCGGCTGGCTCGGTGACCACCTCGTCGGCCGACACCCCGGCAGCCCCGCATCACCTGCTGACCCCGAGCACGGCGCCGGCGCCCACCTCACCAGGCGACCTGCCGGCCTCGTCTCCATCACTTGGTGGTGGTTTGACCGGGACTGCACCGGCGGCCCCGGCCCCGGCCCCGGCCCCGGCCCCGGCCAGCACCGTGCCCATCCCTCCGCCTGCCTCTGGTGGGGCAGCGGCGGCCCCCCCGGCGGTGGCGATCCCCACGCCGGCCAGCCCGGCCTCGATGCAGACCCCGAGCGTGGCCTCGCCCCCGGCGGTGGCGGCGGCCCCAAGTGCACCGGACCCTCCGGTCGATGTGCAGGAGGTCACCAACCAGGCTATGCACGCTCTGCTGGAGCTGATGGACCTCCACCCGGACCGGGTGACCGAGGAGGACCTCATCACCTTCGGCGAGCTGCTCACCGAGAAGCGGACTGCCATGCTCTTCATTGCCCTCGGCAAGGCGGGCGGCTCGGCCCGGCAGTTGGCCTGGATTGAGCGGAAGCGCAATGCCTCGGCCCCCCCGGCCGATCCCAAGCCCTCCAGCGGCGGCGTGTCCAGCCCCTAAACCGGTCCCAACTAGCTAGTCCCATCTCAGCTGCCTTGCTCTTCGTTTCTCTCCTCTTGGCGTGCTGGCCGCGAGCGACGTGTGCGCACACCTGCGTGGTGTCGGTTGTGCCCCCCCCCCCCCCCCTCCCCACACACACTGGCAAAAGCACCTCCGCCATGGTGGCCGGTTTTGAGACTGGATCTCCCTGCTACAACTGGAGCTAAATAATAATACACCCATGTCCTTGTTACTCTGCATGCGCAGATGGAGTCGTCTTTTCTTGCCACCCACACACACATACACACGTACACATGCACACAGAGCCACTCACGGGGGGTTCCCCGGGGCTCCGTGGCGGAGCGCCCCGGCCTGCGCGCGGAGGGGAGGAAGGCGCTTGGGATCCAGCTAAGTCCACACAAACGTTTCCCAGTTAAGCCACCGTGATAGTTACGGTCTGATTGGACGGTTTATCATGTGTTGTGGTGGTGTCGTTGGCAGTTGAAAGCCGGTCCTTTGGCGGGAATACCCCGCAAGCCTCGGTCTGGCTTGCAACGGGCGCCGCCCCCGCGAGATGGCGCCTGGGGCATCCACCCAGCCAAGGGCCCCCCGTGCGGGATCCAAGCGAGAATGAACGCGAGAGAGGAACGGGGCGGACAGCCAGCACACTTCCTCCAGGAGGGTCCCCGAGGAGACAGAGAGACAATCCAGGGGGGATGATCTGCGGCCTGCTCCCCCGCGGCCATCTCGGCCAAGATCAGGGCCGCAGGCAGCGCACAACGCGCAGCCCAGAGGCGATGAGTCCCCGTCCCGGCCCCTGGTGGAGGGCTGGGCTGGATTTGTCCACCTGGAGGGCTTGCCACTGGGCCCCAGGAAAGGGCCGAAGGATGGCTCTCTCCTGGGCCAACAATGGCGTGCCGCAGCCCCCCCCCCCCCCCCGCCCAAAGGCCACTGACCCTCTTGAGGGAGGCAACCATGCAGACACAGGAGGGCCGTTGTCCTGTCACCCGTTTGCCTCCCGTGAAAGGGGCCCCTCCCGCCCCCTCCCCCCCGTGAGCCGATCCATGATGGTGATCCCCTCCCTCCCTCTCCCCGCCTGGGATGTTGCGCAAAAAAGGAGCCTGCCCTGTGACCTTCTCTCGCCGCGCGCGCGCGCGCCGAGCGAGCACGCCTGAGATCCCCGAACCCTGTGTGCCCACAAGCCGCCTCCCTGCCGGGAAGAAGGAGGGGGATTGGCAGAGCGTTGAGCGCATCGACCGGCTGCACACGCAGCCGCAGGAGGGGAGAAGGAGGGGGGGGGGGAAAAGGCGCAAGGAAGAGGGCACACATGTCCACAGAGAGGAGGAGAGGCGTGGAGGAATGGGCGTGCACAGCAGAGGGGCAAAGGATGCGACAAAAAGGGGAGGAGGGACACGAGGCGGCGGCGCAGTTGGGGAGAGGGGGAGGGAATGCTGAGGGAAAGGGGAAGGAGGAAGGAAGAGAGGGGGAGAAGAGAGAGCCCCAGGTGCGCGCGCGGCAGGGCCACGAAAAACACGGAGCACACACGGGCGTGTTGTGAGAGGATTCGTAAGAAATCATCTGTATTGACTTGAGTGGCAGAGAGCGGCGCACTCCAGTGCGTGCACACGCCAATGTAGAGGTATCAAGGGCACTAGACGGCAGTCGGCACCGGCACCGTTGACAACAACAGCAAGGTGTTGCTAGGCCGCTGGTGGCGGGAAGCGAAGGACGCAGACACTGGAATAACTCGGCAGAGAGATTTAGTCGAAGAGACCTGCGCGTGGGGGGGGAGGAGAGAGACGATTCGGATGGGAGAGGCGGGGGCGGTCAGCAAGACAGATAAGGACATGAGGGGGAGGAGGAGGGGAGAGAAAGACAAGGAGGGAGGAAGCATGAGCGCGTGTGCGCGGAGAGAGTGGGGCGACGTACCGAAGCCCATATCCTCATCGGACTCGTCGGACTCGACCTTCTCCTCCTTCTTCTCCTCAGCGGCGGCAGCGGCACCACCGGCGGCAGCGACGGGGGCAGCGGCAGCACCACCACCGACGGAACCGGCAGCGGACAGGAGATCAGTGACGTTGTGGCCCTGGAGGGCGGAGGCGAAAAGGGTGGCCCAGATAGGCTCAATGGTGACACCAGCAGCGGTGGTCAGGTCGACGATCTTGTCGGCCTGTGTGTGGGTGCATGTGCGGAGGGAGGAGGGCAGGAACACAGCAAAAGGGGTGAGAAATGGCACGCGAGGAAAGGAGAGAGAGTGGGGAGGGGGCATCGGATGCGGGATTTCCTTTCTGCATCCGACTCCAAGGACAGGGTGGGGTAGCCCATGCAGAGGAGATGCGGAAAGATTGACGAAGTGTTGTGTGGCCCCCCCCCGGCCAGGGGGAGGGGGATACCCCCTGCCGCCCCCTCCACGGTGCCCGCCCTGGAGGAAGCCACGCTCAGAGAAGCGGTGAATTCCCCTCCTGCTTGTAGCCGGTGATGATGAGGTGTGGCAGGGTGATCCGACTCAAAGTACGGCCTCCTCCTCCTCCTCCTCCTCCCCTACCGGGGGGGTGGCGCACGTGGAACGCGCACAGTGGCGCCGCACAGAGGAGGAGGAGGGGAGACCGGTGCAGTGAGGATCAGGAGCTGCCTGCCCCTTTTGCCGGAGCACCAGGGCACAGGCATGCGCGCGTTGGGCGTACGCATGCCCCGCGAACATCGAAGATGTCTCCCCCGGGCTGCGACCCGCAGTCGCCACCGCTCAAGCGAGGGGCGGGAAGGGGAGAGCACGGGAAAAGACGTCCAAGCGCACGCGCGGACATCGACCAGAGAAAGAGACAGGCTGGAGAAGGAGCAGGAGCGGGGGGGGGATTCACCTCAACTGGGAGGGCGGCAGAGGGACGGCGGCGTGGAGGAGAAAGGAACAACAGGCAGAGGGGCGACCGAAGCAGAACGAGAGACAGAGAGAGGGGGAGGAGGGTGGAGGGGTAAACGTACGGTGACCTCAAGACCGCTGTCGTGGAGGATGAGGGAAGCGTAGACGCAAGCAAGCTCGGTGGACATTTTGAAGAACACGGAAACTATTCACAGCGACAAAAAAATATCAAACTGCGATTAGAGAGAGAGAGCTCCGATGGAAGGGCGAGGGGGCCGGTTTTTCTTATAGACCGCACCACGGCACACCCAACAGTATGACCCCCGGGAGGCCAGCCGGTGGCGTCACATCCCCCAGCGGCCCGTCTGCCCCCTCCTCCCCCCCCCCCCCACACACACACCCCCCCCCAGTGCCCAAGCCCACCAGAGCTCTCTTCCG